ATTTAGCAGAAGAATTTTTTTTAAATTTCAATATTGTATTTTATTAGATTTTGTGTAAAGGTTAAAGGTGTCTAATATGGTACAATATCTACAAAATTACAAAATTGTAACGATATGCGAAATAATACGCGAAACATATTCTATTACACAACAGATCACGCGTATTAGAACGTCAATTTACTGACGGTCACCAAGGACTCGGGGATGTCTGTCATAGGTCGGCCTCCGAATGTAGATCGGCGGGAATCTGTAGCTCCGCCTTGTTTACATTAATTTTGATTGGATCTGAAATGATCTACAGCACGTGACCCGAACATTTCTTTGCTATGGGCTAGGGTACTCACAAAATCGATCTACAAATCATCAACCTGATGTCATGGGACTGGGTTGTGATCTCGTGACAAATGGATGGCCCGTGACTTTGTTCATGGCATTCCAAAAACATAGCTATGCGCGATTTCACCCTAATGTGATCTACGTAACGAATTTTACTAATTTACAACGCGGGTTTCACCCAGTCCTATTATAATTCGTAAATCATGATCTTAATACGGTGCAACCCTTCTGTAACAAGATGCGCATTAAAAAAAGCTCCTTATATATAATTCATTCTATTGTAAAAATCAACTTAAATTCTTTAATTATTTTTTCATTAAAAAAAAAAACTCACTAAATAATCTTTATTACATATTCACTGCAAGAATTATTATATAAAAAGATAAACAGTTTACCAATTGCAATATAACATAATACCTACATACATAATTGTCCGAAGGACATTATGGTAGAGACATAGTGATCTGTTTGTGTGTGTGTCCGCAAATTAAAGCTTTTGATTGGTTGATCAGATCAAAACAATTATTATATTCAGAAAATAGCCGTTTGGTTGGACTGATCCGTGTTGGTTTTTCCTTCGGACTTAAAATGGTTTCCATTTGCCTAGAGATTGTACCCGTCGAGAAAAGTTCTACCCGGGTATTATTAAATTACCCGGTTATCCGGGTAATTTATTATACCATAAAATAAAAATGTCTACCCGGGTACAATCTCTACATTTGCCTAGTTATATACTGTACATAAATCAAATAGTCAATTTGAAACCTTCATAATTTCGTCCAATTTACACATTCCTACCACAAATATATCCTTCATATTTAGGCCGGACCAATTTAATTCAGTGGTTTACATCACATTCCTCTCTCAAAAGAGTTGGGGGGGGGGAATGGAACAACATAGTAAATTTTCAGATTCTAATCTTAATTTCACTCGACATTATGCTCTCCAGCCAAACTTATATATATATATCCCAATATTTTTTTTGTTAAGAGAGAGGGGGAGGTTAAAAGAGGGGGTAATGTAAACTACTGAATTAAATTGGTCTGGCCTTATAATATGCAAATTAATATAACCCTTACCTTTACCCTCTACATACTTTCTATTTAACCCTAAACACTCTATACTTTACACCTTTATTTATCCACCTCATTTTAAACCCACAATTTTTTAACATTTTCTCATCTACATTTACCTATATACTTACCATCATATTACCACTTAATTTTCATACTTCTAACTTCTCCATAATATCCATTTAACTTACTTTCCTTTTTTAATTTTTATCCAATCTATTTCTTATTTCACAACTCGCTTTAACACGATGCTTTTTACTTGTTATATAGTTTAAAGTACTTTTTGGAAATGTAACGTTTCACTAACAAAAATCATTGTAAAACCCATTTCTAGCTTCTATATTCACTGTACAAAAATAATCAAAAATAATTATTAACCCCAAGAGCATCATTTAGAAGTGGATGTTTTACCATTTATTGATAATACTAGGAAAACGGAATCCGTTGGGTTCCGGAGCACCGCTTTGTATTTTCAAACACACTTTAAAGAAATCCAATTATTTGCAAGATATTAATAAAAATTCTTATAGCGTAAGCGTATAACTATTATATTCTTATCTTTATATATCTGTTTCAATGAAAGCTAAAAGCTTTAACTCTGTAAAATCAGTTCTTAGATGCAATTTGATCAATTTAGCACTATGAATTAGGTTAAGATTAAAGTTGGTCACCGAAACCTTTTTGGCCAAATCCGAAAGTTTCAGGTTTCGGATTATAGTTTCTGAAACCTCATCTAAAACCCCGAAACCTTATCCGAAACTCAAAACCCTACCCGAAATCCCGAAACTCTATTTGCATAATAAGTTTT